ACACACAGACACACACACACACACAGACAGACACACACACACACACACAGACACAGACACACACAGACAGACACAGACACACACACACAGACACAGACACACACACACAGGTGAAGCAGGTGAATATGAGACGCACAGAGACAGTGAAGCGTGACGTGAGATCTCACCCTCACAGACGGTCCCCTTCACTCGCGCGCGACCTTTAGAGCAGAACAGATCTGAAACACAAACACACACACACACAAACACACACACACACACACACACACACACACAGATCAGGAAACCAGCCTACACTAATGATTAAGATCCTTTAATGTTTCTGAAAGAGTCTCTTCTGCTCACTAGGTTGCATTAATATGATTAAAAATACAGTAAAAAATGTGAAATATTATTATAATTTCAAACAGCTGTTTTCTACGGTGAATATCTGTTAAACTGTAATTTATTTCTGTGATCAAAGCTGTATTTTCAGCATCATTACTCCAGTCTTCAGTGTCACATGATCTTCAGAAATCATTCTAATATGCTGATTTGCTGCTCAACAAACATTTCTGATTATTATCAATGCTGAACACAGTTGTGCTGCACAATATTTAAAAATACTTTTATTCTTTTTATTTTGGTTTGTCTTTATCTAGTAGGACGGGTTAGTTAGTGGTTTGGTTGTGGAGGTTCTGGTTCTGTCCGTCTCACCTGGTTCACATTTGGCACACGGCGAGCCCCAGGCCGCCCCCAGCGAAGAACAGCAGTGAGACTTCAGCGTCGCTCCGTTAATGTTAATCTCACACTGTCCGTTCACCGCCTTCAGCCAACACGTGCCCTTAGTGGTTTCTGACACACACACACAGAGCACGTATGAGGCTTTAACACACGTGTGATGAGTGTGATGGGACAGGAAGTGCACTCACCCACACACAGAGTTCCTGAGCTGTCCAGTGTGCTTCCCGCGGAGCAGAGACACGCGAACGAGCCGGCGCTGTTCTTACACTCGCCGTTCACACACGGGTTACTCAAACACTCGTCCACGTCTGAACACACACACACACACAGCATCAGACGAGTTCAGCATGCCAACGCTAGTGGTTTTTTGACAGCCGATGCCGATATCTTAGAGAGCAGGGTGGCTGATGGCCAATAAAAAGCTGACATACAATATATATATATATAAATAAATTTGAATAAAAAAAAGTGTAAAAAAATAAACAAACATACTTATACTTTAGAAGACAACTTCTTGATTCTGTGTGTGTGTGTGTGTGTGAGAGAGAGTGAGAGTGTGTGTGTGTGTGTGTAAGTGTGAGTGTGAGTGCGTGAGTGTGTGTGTGTGAGTGCGTGAGAGTGTGAGTGCGTGAGAGTGAGTGCGTGAGTGTGTATGTGTGTGAGTGTGTGTGCGCGTGAGTGAGTGCGTGAGAGTGAGTGTGAGTGTGTGTGAGTGTGTGTGGTGTGTGTGTGTGAGAGAGAGAGAGAGAGAGAGTGTGAGGGTGTGTGTGTGTATGAGAGAGAGTGTGTGTGTGTGTGTGTGTGTGTGTGTGAGAGACAGACGTGACCCACCTTCACACACCTCTGTCTCGGGCTGGAAGGTGAAGCCCTTCGGACAGTGGCAGGTGAAGCTGCCCGGTGTGTTTCTGCACAGGCCGTTCTCACACAGGTGTCTGTTCATCATGCACTCGTCCACATCTGAAACACAGACACACACGTGACGCAGACGTCTGCACGCTTCACACGCTAATGTCTGCAGAGATACTGACCGACGCAGGTCTTCCCGCTGATGTCCACCTCAAAGCCCAGATTACAGTTACACTTGTATGTTCGGAGCATGTTCTCGCACACGCCGTTCTGACAGATATCAGGATCCAGCGCACACTCGTTTATATCTGACACACAGAGAGAGATTCACATCTAAACACACGCACGTGAACGTACATGCAGGTAAAATACATGAATTAGTCTCACAAAGAACATAACCGGTTCATTATTCACCCAAAAATAATAAGAAAAAAGTAAGAAATTGTTTTAGGCATACACCTCTTAAATGTTTATATGTATAGATATTAATATTTAATATAAATGTAACTGTATTTTTATGTAATTATAACATGTTATATTTACTACAATAATGATTATATTAAATATAGAATTTAATAATAACATTACATTTATAAATATATATACATATTATAATAATTATATTAATTATTACTATTTATTTACACCTGTATCTTTTTATGTTTGGTTGAAATAATGACCTTGATGTTCTTCACAGTTCTTTTAAATATACATATATAAATATATACATACATGCATATAT